TAAATAAAAATCTAAAAAAAAATTAAATTGAATAAAAAATTTTATAAATAAAAAAATAAGAAGAAATAATTGAATAAAAAAATAAAAAGTGATCAAAATAAAGAAACAGTAAAAAAAAAATTGAAACTAGCCCCGCCCCAAGGCCAGGTTCCACAATAGGGTTCCCCTATGATAAATAATGCAGGGAGGGAGAGCTGTGCAGTGGCATCACAAGGAGGGTGCACCCGGGTGACATCATCAGAGGGGGTGACACCAGAATGACTGACAGTCATTTTGGTGTCACCCCCTCTGAAAAGTCGGGCACTCACTCATGAACAGAGAGCCCGACAGCTGCACCAGAGAGGAGGGGACCCGGCGGCATACTTTATCCCGCCGGATGAGCGTCCCCTCCTCGTCAGTGTCCATCACCAATATGGCCGCCGGCAGTGAAGTGCACGTGACGTCACTAAGCACATGCGTAATGACGTCACGCGTACACGTGATGAGATGCGCGCCCCGGGTGACACACGGCCTGGTGACTCCCCGGGTGCTGTCAGAAGCCGGCTGAAGTGTTGGGTACACAGGCGATCCTGTACTTGATTTATTGGGGGCCAGTGGAGACATCAGGGGTCTAATAGACTCCTGATGTCTCCATAAAGAGAACCTGTCACCTGCAAACGCTGTCACATACGGGCTTGTTATAGCAATAAAATTAACTGACAAAAAAATGTTAAAGTGTTAAAAAAGTAAAAAAAATAAAATAAAACCAACCCCGCCATCTGCATGTGAATGAACACATGGGCGCAGGGCATGCACATGCATGATTTCACCCCATGCATTAGGAAAAATTATGAACGCATGATTGCCCCGGTGAGGCACTGAGGGGGTTAATACAATGATCTAAAAGTGATACATTGTTTCTCGGTTTTCCTTTGATATTATTGGCTTGCAAAAATAACGCAGCCCTCCGAATGTGCGACCAAATGATTGCTGCAGTGCATAGCCGACCCGACCCTCCCCCCAGCACAGTATGAAGCATGCTGGGAGTTGTAGTCCCGCCAGGGTTTCTCGCTCCCTCTCCTGCGAGCTAATTTGCTCCTCCAAACCCCCTCGTCAGTCGTTATGGTAACCGGGTTGACACACCTGTACCTCACTCAGGGGGCGCGGCCACACCGGAGCTCCGAAGAAGGGGGGGGCGTGGTGATCACGTGAACACGAGACCAATGCCGCTATTGGCTGCCCCCAGACTCCCGGCATGCACCGCGGGTAAACAGGAATGGCGGAGGAAGAGGGAGAGGAGGATCTTGTCAATAACAACAATATGGGCAACCAGCTGCAGCTTATCCCGGGTATGCATGACCCCTCCCACCTACCGACCTACCGTATATACAATCCCCCCCACTCCCCTCCTTCCCCAACCTATCCCAGGCATACTTCACCTGTCCACCTCAGACACACCCAATGAATGTGCGCCACACCTGCTTTATATGTAGAAGGTGGTTGTGGTGTATTAGGGGGGTGGACGGGGTATGTGCGAGGTAGGTTAGTGATGCATAGATAGCAGGGGTGGGCTAACTCCAGCTCTGCAGCTGTGGTGGAACTACAAGTCCCATGAATCAATGTAAGATTCTCACAGCCACAAGCATGAGTCCCAGAGACAGATGCATGATGGGATTTGTGGTTTCACCACAGCTGGAGGGCTGGAGTTTGCCCACCCCTGATATGTAGGGTAGGTGGGGTGTATATATAGATAGCATAGGTGTGTGTGTAAACACATACACACCCACCTGCCCTTTATACACACCTACCCATCCACCCACCTTATATACACCCCATCTATTCTATACACACACTCCACCAACCATGCATACACCCAACCTACCCTTTCTACACACCTACCCACCCACCTACCTTGTATACACCCCACCTACCCAACCACCCACCTACCCTTTCTACACACCCACCTCATATACACCTCACCT